CAAGGCGAACGAATAAACGTACAAGGAATCATGCAAATCGGTATAAAATTGGCGGACGCATTAAAATACTGTCATATGCGAGGATACATACACACAGCGATTAGCTCACACTGCGTTTATTTTGCAACCGATACGACTGTCAAACTTGGCGGATGGGAACTGGCTAGAGAAATGGAAAAAGTATGTGGAATTTGAGCTTTTTTATGTCTTACTGTATTCTCAAAATATTAATATATAGTTTCAAAATATTTCATGTAAACGTAAATCATATTAAATATAAATTATTTTAAAGTAGGAATCTGTACACATATCTTTTATAAATGATCTAATTTAAATAATTTGCTAAAATATAGAATTTATATAAATTTATAAGATATTTTGTTACAAATATACGTAATAAATTGTCGTATATACATTTATGTACTTCTATACTTTCGCGTATATGTATTATATGTATTATTTAAATGATGTTAACATATCCTAAGTGACTTTATTATTTCTTAATGAAGCAATAGATGCATATTTTTTTATTCACATCTATCAACTTAAGCACGCGACAAATACATTTTTACGTGTTTAAAATCATTTGTTAATAGATTTAAAAAATTCACAGACAGAATAGACTGTAATGAAACGGATCACGTCATATCCGCGATTCCATGACACACCCATGAGCGTTTCACCAACGGAAACGACTGGCATTGTTTTCAACAAAATGTTCGTTTCTGAATAAATTCGCTGTACCATGTCGATGCTAATCGCATGCGCTGTCTGGAACGCGGAACTTATAATCGCAATTAAATATGATAGATTATTTTCAGCAATAAGGACTATATTTAACATAGAATCACGTCGAAAAAATCTTATCGCGAAAACAAATAAGAATAAAAAAAAAATGTTGAACTATATTTATATAATTAATTGCATTATAAAGTTTGAATATAAAAATCTAAGTATTAATCACAGTTTTTTTTATCTTATCCCAAAAATCTTGCAAATTTATGTCGCAATTTTTTAATTGGAGATTTCTTTATTTACACAAAGAATATAAGATGTATAACTCAATATGAAATATTAAAATATATTTTTAATATTTTTTAATATTGTTTTTTCCTATAATAACATATCTGCTATTATTTCTTTTATTTTTAGACTTATATAGAACGTGATTTCGAAAAATATTTACGATTAGAAAATTTTAAGTGGCAAGCACCGGCGATATGCTACAGACTACAACCCAATAAAAAAATGGATGTTTACTGCTTGATGCTATTACTTTGGGAAATGTGTACAGGCAAGTACATTACACTAATAGTATAATATATATATATACAATATAAAAAAA